AAGCATTCTACATGCGTAGCCGCACGTGTACGTGTCAGTATTAATACATTGGCGCGCTGCAGCTGTCGTAGTGACTATCGCTCCATTGATCAACTTCAGCGGCTAAAGTTGTCGACTACTCACGATAGAATGGACACGATCGATAGCGAAAGGGCTTTGACCAACTATCGCACAAAGGTCCCGTCGTCACGCGCACGGGAGGAACGTCAGTTCACCTTGGAGGTCTATTTGGACCGAATAAATTTTTAATGTGACATCGCGTCTCAAAATAGTCTCGGAATCGTCATTTTTTTTATGCCGGTATTTCAGTTGCAATATTTTTCACTCGACTCTATCGTACTGCAAACGAGTGTAAGTTTGAAACTAGAGCAAACAATATTCCAAAAAAATAAAAAAAAGAAACTGCGGTATAAATTCATCGGCGCTGTTGCGAAAAGTTTAAATACATAGTTTGATATAATCGTAGCATGTTCCAGAATAATCGAAAGATATTTCAGTAGCGGATAATATTATAAAATATCAATACCGTGTGTATGTGTGTGTACGCAGATATTTGAACGAGTGGCGAACGTAATATTAGATTTTCGTGCGATAAATTCTCAATAACGGATTGTTATACAGCAGATAAAATACTCATGCCCGCACACGTTTCCAAACTGAAATATTTCGCTAGAAAGTTCAGCGATTTAACCAACCATCGAATAGAATTTCACAAAACTCGTCAGAATGAGTTCTGCGTCGGAACACGCAGTCGGCTTGTAATTGTAACTTTAACCAATGTTCAAATATGGGTGCATACCGATACGCACAACTACTACGCGTCCTTCCGTTGGACAAACCTTCAGCGTCGACCTGGGAGTCTGTTCGCGAAAAATTTCCCACAGGCTATCGCATAGTTTGCGCTTGCCAAATATTCGGTGACTAAGGCAAATCGGCAGAATTTTTCAATCCATTATCCTCACTCATCTGGATGGAGGTTTTGATATGCATGATGCTTGTGTGTCCGTGCGAGAAACTCGGCTTTTTGTAAATAGTTACTCGTGGAATATTTAATGACAAGCAATGTATGCGTGAGATGTACTGCATAGCAAACGTCAGATTAAAATTTTTAATGTGAGCTGCACTAAATGGAATTAAAAAAAAAGAGATAAAAGATTGTTTATACATATTGTAACTAATTTGCCTTAACACTTAAAATTCTTTCTCATTTTCGTCCTGTTATGAGTATACAAAATTATATGGATTTTCTCTCTCTTTCTTTCTCTCTCTCTCTCTATCTCTCTCTCTCTCTCTCTCTCTCTCCCGAAAATATGCTGATTTGCATTAGCATACGTTCCATTGTGTATAAAGTAGAACTATTATTTTAAAGTAGAAACTATTATTATTACTTAGCGATAGCGCGGTATCGGAAACGAATATTTCTGCATCGTCGAGAAGGTCGCAACGCGCGATATCGATGCAATCAAAACTCCGTGATGCTGTTTTAAATTGCGCCACGATTAAAAAGTTACGATGGCAGGATTCGATATCGTTTCATCCTATTCTCTGCCTCTCTTACGATATGTTCGCAATTAACGAAATATTAAATCCCTGGACGTTGCTATATGGTTTGCGAACGTATCGCGTGCCTGCGTCGTTCATACGCCCTGTGAGCAGTTTGAACGAGAGAGTGTGTGGGTGTGAGAGAGAGAGAGAGAGAGAGAGAGCGCATTGATAATTATAAAATTCTTCAAATAAAAAATCTACAGTTGGTCAATCATCAACTTATTGCTGAATCACCGACATTTAATTATTTTGCGTCGCTGGCCCTAATTACCGCGTGCCTTATTATCGGCTATAATTGTTCCTAGAAAAGAAACTACTGCGCTACGTGTTTCACGGTAATTAACTCCCGCCGGTTTGCGAAATACAAAAAGCGCACTGCTGATGCGACGGCAGTTGCGATCGAAGGTTTAACTTAACGACTAATCGAATTGATGGCCATTTCGCTGGTTTATCGTGAGATAATCAAGATGAATTTTGTCGTATCTTCCAAATGAATATTTCTCGATGATACTGCGAGAGAATTTATTAATCTCGTGCTTTCAAAAACTCATTCACTCATTTTATACTGAGAAATTACGCGCGCGCGTAAATTACTTTCTGAAAATTTACATCAACAATAACAAGTTTGTTTTACGCAACTCTCAACTACGACTGTGTAGTTTTACCCGAATACGGTGCGATTTCTTTTTACGCGTACCGAGTAAACAACTGAGCATGACACGGCTCTATTCCTTTCGCAGGAATGATGGTAACGCGACAATAGTGGGATATATTCGGTCCCGTAGGGCTGACTGCAAACCAAGTTTACTCGTCATTACCGCACTGGCTGCGCGTTGCTGTTGAGCAACGCCGGCAGTTCGTTTACTCGCGTCTGCTTCCGTCTCCTTGACGGAAACGACGCTTTTTGCGTTTCGCTGCTCCTGCCTCCCTGCTTCTCCATGACGCGACAGATTTTATTAGATGCAGCGCAAAGCAGCTCGATATTACTCTTGATATTAAACGGAACGCGCTCGAATGACGCTCAACGTATATCGGATTACGCATCTAATAGACTTTACTAGCATCAACCTCTTGTTGGTTGAAATTTGTATTTTTTTTTCGCTCGTCGCATTTCTCTGATAAGTGACGCTCCGGACTTACTGTCGAAGGGTGAATACGCGAGAGGATCGCGTGCTCGACGAGCAATCAGCGCGATTGCTGAAATACGCGTGCTATTACTGCCGTCTGATATTAAAAAATGGGAACTTTCAAGAAGGAAAAAAGTACCACATATCGGCAAATGGAAAGGGAGAAAAAGGAGCAGAGAAAGAGAGGGAGAGAGAGAGAGAGAGAGAGAGAGAGAGAGAGAGAGAGAGAGAGAGAGGGAAGGGGGGTGAGAGAGTGAGAGAGACGGAGGGAGGGAGAGAGCACGTTGCAACTTAGACGCAGACGTTTGAAATGAGGCGCACGTTGCACCAGAATTTTACAGTTCTACCGCATCGCGCCCGCCACCCTCTCGCCTCTCCTAGCACACGGAATCACATCTGCGGATGCAATAAGTTGTGTTAGCTCCACTCGTATTTCTCCTCAGTTACCGCTATCGGTAGCACCATGCATTATCATGGTAAGGACCGGGTCCGGCTATATCCTGTTGGGATCTCGAACGATCCCAACGCGCACGAGTTAAAGCCCCTCGTGTAGTATCGAGGATCGATTTGTTCTAGACACCTGATACGTAGCACTGGAGAATTTCTTAGCGTAGTCAGTGGAAGGCGTGGGTGCGATTTTTGTTCTTTTTTTAATCGAGTTTAACGCCCTGGACTATATTATGATGGAATGTTACATTTCCTAATTACTGAATTTGACGAATGTCTAAGATCTTCAGAAAATTACCATCTGTTCTACATTTAATATTTATTCTTCTTACACATAAAGAAATATTGAGAGAGAAATACTGTTTTCTATTATTTATAATTGTATTATTTATAATATTGATTTGTGTTGCAGTGATAGCGACGTCACAAAATATTCTGTAGTATTGAAGTGTTTCGTTGCTCAATTTGTTCCAACCAGCATAGAATTTCGTCTAATCGTTTTCTCCCAAAATTTATACATTTCCATCTCTTACGTATGCATCGAGAAATTTACGTACGCCGTGAATTAATTAGCGATGTTTAGGCTAAAAGTGCTTGTTTTCGTCGAGGTTTTCATACACACGTGGCGCATACGCCGGCAAAGTGCGCTAAGGTGTCGCCGGAATTTCGTTCGGGAGATTTGCGTGCGGTGATAAATCCGCGTTACCGTAAAGCGAGACAATGTAATAGCGCGCAGCGTAACCGCACGCTATTCGGAATCTCTCCGTCCCCGCATGTGTCCTATCTACACAAAATGTGGATTATGCAAAGAATAATAAAATGGATAGGACCGATGTTGGCTGATGAAGCGATTTCGCTTGCGTCGATCGCTTGCCCGAAATTTCCATCAAAGTTCCGATCAGGATAAAGCAAACTATCGCGATAAATTGATACGTATGATTAGAAACAACGCTATTTAAACTATGTCGGTCTATGTGCATGCCAGTTTTGCGGCCCTTTAAAATCTCGGCACGCTTTGCTTTAAAGATTGACACACACATCGAGTGCGAAGCCTGAGACCGCGCTGACGCGACGGAGTGAGGGTAAGGCCGCGCGCAAGGACACGGGTTTCCTGGGAAGGAGTTGTACGGAATGTGGATTATGTAATTCACAAGTGCAGACGAAACTTTTGACCATTTTCTTGACCGAAGAGTGGCCAGCCGATTGAAAGCGCGGCGTTCGATACGATCGATTCGATAATTTCGTTTCTAGCAGTCGCAGCGACTTCAAACAAAGACTGTCGTAACGCTAAGACTCTCGCGCTTCTGACAAACATTAAGTGTTTTTTATATATAGTTTTATATATATCTCCTTTTATATATAGATATTCTGTCCCTCTCTACGTAAGTGTTAAATTAGATCACACTCTTTATATTTGCGCAACTTTGACGTGATACTATATTTGTGATGCAGTGCGTTACGCTATTACTTATTTTTTCGTTATTGGAGAAAGAAATATATATATGATGACAGATATCAAACATAAAATGTAAACGTGCGCTCTATTGTATTTTACCAATATAATATTTGTAATACATCTCGACCACGGTTTCATTAACAGCTCGAGTCGCGTGAACGAGATCGATCGTTAATTACGATGTCAGCGATTTGTTTGACGTGTCAATTAATTATCGACTCGAGTCGGCCGAACGCGAAAAACTGTCTCTCTCTCTCTCTCTCTCTCTCTCTCTCTCTCTCTCTCTCCTCTAGTCTTTCTGCCTGAGAGAGCCTCTGAAAGCGAGAAATTCGAATCGCCCGACACGACCATCAACGCGGCTCCCTTTTTCCGCCGACGTCGTTGCATTTTCCCGCGAGCGGACGTTGAAGAAGAGCCTCACTTACCGATCGGCTGTATCAGCTGGCGCAACGATGCCAGCAACGGGAGGATCAATAGAAACGGGGCCATGACGGCTTTGATTCAGACGTCCATCTCGTGCGTTCATTCACGAGACCGGTCTGCAACAGAAAAAAGCGCATGCAACCGTATTAACAGCTCGGCCGCACTCCTCCTCAGCGTTGAATACGCCGCAACGGGCTCTTCATGTCGCGGAAACTGGCAGTCATTATTTCGATAATCGATCAAGCATCGGCCGCTGTTGCTGGGACGAATGAATTCATCCTCTCTCGTTTCATGAGTGGCAAGCGTCTACTACCATCCGCCTTCCTTTTTCATTCTTTCCTCTTTTGTATGAAGCACTTGTTACGTTTTCATCTATGCCATTTCACGAATTAACTGTCTTTTGTTTATGGCACGATGGAAATTCTGACGCGACAGGCACGCCTGTTAATCCTGTGAGATTTACTGGCTTTTTCTCAGCCGTAACATTTGTCGAGGTGCTTGCAGCGTATCGGTGATCTATCGGCCAATCTTTCGTAAAAAAATTGTCGCGGTATTCTTTTCAAAATTTTAATTTCAATCCTTCGGATCATATTTTATCCGAATGTCCGATAATATAATGGCAAGCAAGTGGAGAATGATGAGAGAGCTCAACCGCGCAGCATATTTGACTTCGCTCTGTACTGGCTGCACCTCTAATGTGGATCATGTTCGTCATTATTAACTCAAAGGAGAAACGAAGGAACATCTCCATCGAGGAAGGGAGGATAAAAGGCGGACGAGAGAGGAGAATAATGGAAGCAAAGAGATCCCGAACGAGCATCGCTCGTGGCTCTTTGGGCCCCCTCGTGCCTGCAGGCTAACGCGCTGCGACGCGCTCCTCTGCGAATTGGGATTATATTCGATACGCATCGCTGCAGCATCAGTTACAGTTACAAGCGGGTGATCGGATCAGATTGATACATGTCGCTGATTCTAATATGACTCATTTGTCAATTATCGATTACCGGGAGACTCGATAATTATGCAATGGAATGTGAAGCGTGTTGAGATGATTCGAACGAACGACCTGTGTGTTCTTTGACCACGTATCTCTCTAAACTCTACAAACAACCTGTACTTCAAACAAAAGAGCTTAAAGTGATACGCAAGAGAAACACATATCGATCGAAGATATCGAATCGCATTCGGTCAATAATCTGATCTTTGTGCTTCGTCGAGACAACTTTTCTGTTGTGATGCTTTGAACATCTTGCAATATATGTCGCGCGCGATGTCGAGCGATAAACTTTTTCCTCACCTAATATCATTCGATCTAACAATGTCCTCATCACTGACCGCAGTATGTAACTACTGTAGGAACTACTCGCGCCGTTGGTCGTGTGTAACGCTAGCCAAAGTTAACAGATACACGACAAATGTGTTCCCCTGTCGCGGACGTTGATCGACGTCGACGACGTATCGACAATGTTAATCTGTCTCGTCGTAGAGCTGCGCCCACGTTGTCGCCGGCCGAGTAACTACGTTACTCACCATCGGCGACAGCGTCGGCTACGGCTAACATAGCTTGTACGTGTATCACGCTGACGAGAGTGATGTCCAGTCTGCGAGAGATAATTTTTACTAGGTCTCGCTCACGCGCAATGTGTGATTCGCGCGTATTGTGTGAAATGTTGGACGCACTGCGCTGCGCAAACGAGCGAGCGAAATTTTGCAGATCGCGAAACGCGACTGATATTTTGATACCGCCACTTTTGGCGCTCATTGGAAAAAAAAAAAAAGAAAAAAACTTTCCGCGAATTTTCCGCCAAACCCGTCGGCCAAATGTTTATTCAGATATTACGCGCGTTTAGTGTAGATTACGGAATCGCGTTTACCTTTAGCTCGCGTCACAAACCGTCGAATCAAACAGCGAGCGACGAATACGACGGCCTGTATCGATCAGGTTGATTTCGGCGTGGAGAGCAGCTCGACGAGCAGCTGAAACGAGAGGTGTACCTGCTCCAAAAGCGGCCGCGCGAAACTGCACTCTGCGCATTACAGAGGGATGGAAATGGCGCGTGTGTAATCCTCTGAAAAAGTGCGGCGCGCATCGCGCGCGCATTCCGGTATGTGGCAAATCAGACCGCGAAGTGACGCATGTTGTAAATCCCTTCGCTTCATATTTCATGCCAGAAGCATGCGCGCGCGCGTGTATTATTTCCGCTTTCGCTACTGTCTTGACTGCACTTCTCCTCCTCCTCCACCGAACGATCCCGCTACTTTTCGAATCGCCGTTCTGTATCTGTTTCAAATGTCCGCGATGATAAACGGTCGACTGTAGCCCAATCTCGTTCGAGGTATGGTTTAGAAATTATTAGCTCTGTATACTCACGGTGAGAGAAAAAAGAAAAGAGGAGAAGAAAAGAAAAGAGGAAAAAAGAGAAAGAGGAAGAAAACGGAGCGAGAGGAAGATTGATGTCGTTCCTCGCTTCAGCATTTTTGCGAACTTCGTATCTCTTCGCCTCACTCGACGAGACTTTGCCGCGGTCGCGCCGTTGGTGAAGCCGTTAATTTGCATTTTCGCGAGTTGGGTTTCCGTTTGCCGCGCGCAACCTTTACGAAGGGAGATTAATTGATGCTATTAACGTGGTAATAAGTTGAAGTTATCATTGATTAACCGGCGGCATTGATTTGCGGCGGTTACGATTACGATAATTACCGGCGAGTACTCCCGAGTTAATTAGTTATTTGATGCGCGCGTATGCGCTGATTGCGTGTTTTACACGCGATCACCGCGCGTTAATGGATATCTCTTATTTTAATCGAGCGGCGCGGCTGACGAGCAGTATGAAGTAGTGAATAACCAGTAATAATTTAATATCTCGTAAATCAGGATTAATTCGAATCGAAGGCGATGTTGCCGAGAAGATTATGGCAACGCGATCGAAATCGTTCGATGGGAAGATTTTACGTGTGCTTTATATCCAAAATATTCGTGTTTTCCGGAATAACAGCGGTGAGACAGCTTCCGCGCGATCGTGATCGTAAAAATATACATATATTCCGACGAGAAAGATCTCTCGAGGAAGATGAAATATAGTATACGTACCGGACGAATTTTTTATTCGCCCGAGTTCACACACAGTCACCGTCGCCCGGCCGATGTAGCGCGGAAACAGAAGGCAGGAGCAGACGTAAAACGGTCGAATCAGCGTCGCGACTCGATGATCGGCGGTGAGAGGCGTTGTAAAATTTTGGAAGCCGGAATCGGGTTAGCGGGTTGCTCGACTCCGCGCGAGGACGTGATAAAACTATTTCCGGACCGGCAGTCCGGAGAGAGTCTAGTGGCAGCCGGGAAACTCCCGAGATATATAAACGCCGGAAAGAAAATTCGTTCATCGATCGGCGGATGCCGAGGGGGACCCACGTTAATAATTCGCGAGAGCGGGCTGCACGCTGGGACACGATGAATGCAAATCGTGCAGCGACGCCGCATGAATATTCGCGAGTCGCCGCGGGCTCGATTTACAATCCGTCAGATAAGATACGTATCTTTTGTGTATACGCCAGTCGACCCGAGAGAGAGAGAGAGAGAGAAAGGGGACGTGATCTCTCTTTCTCTCTCTCTGAGCGGAAAAACGAGTCGCATTCTGCGCGATGCGAATGCGAGAGCGAACGCGTGCTGGGTTGACCGCGAAATGTGAAATATTAAACATTTCATTCGTTACCGGGAATCGGATCCGCCCTCATACTTTGCGCCTGGTTCGCACAAATGTTTATCGCTGGATGGTTGGAATGTTTTACTCATAATTTCTATCGGAATCCCACCGCGCTTCCACCCCTTAAGCTCGGCGAAAAATTTCGCTAATTAAATTAACGAAAAGGAAAACTTAACAATTGATTAATTAGTTTCGCGTTGTTAAAATTGCATTGGCTGAGAGTTTCGTCTGTTTAGCCGCGCGCTCAATTTTGATCCCTTCTCCGATGAAAGGACAAGCACACGAACGAATGTAACGTTTTTTAAGGTATACACATTGCGTAAGAAATTGAATTGAAATTGAACCAGGGATGCGATGTGAATATTCGAGCCGGGTCGAATTTACGGTGTGCGGGCACGCCGGAATTTCCGTCCCGCCGGAATAGGCACGTTTATATTTCCCGTTTCTAGCAGGTCGCGTTTCTCATACTGATACTAATTCGTTGTCGGCGCTCGGTGCCTGGATGTTCCCGACACTCGCAATAAAGAAGATCCTGACTGCGCGCACGAGCAGCGAGGGGGTCGGCCCCCTCGCTGCGAAAATCAGCGAGATTTATGTCCATTCGTCGGAACGTTTCTGTACGTAATCGCGCAGTAAAATGTGACGGTCGCGCGCCGCGCGGCCAAAGTCGCGCGACTGACATTGTCTCACACGGCGAAAATTCCAGGCGTCTTATAAACGTCGCGCAGTGCTCAGGGCTGCGCGAATTGCCCGCTCGACGAGGAGATATTTGACTCGGCCCGTATTTGGGCGCGCCGAGCTTGGAATAATTCACGAGCCCGTGCGGCTTGCGACCACTACGGTTTAACACGTATGGTTTAATACGCCGAATGCCACGGCGAATACCGCTGTCGGCTGCGACGTTTTGACATTGATGGAATTTTGATCCGTTATTCGCGAGCGGGGTTATCGCATAGCCGTTGTTTTATCGAGAAGGTAATGCAACATTGTTTCCGCCGGTGTCGATGACGCGGGCGCGCGCCCGCGTCCCTTTTTACTCCAATTAGCCAACCATCCGTGCTTAATGCAGACATGATGGATAAATAAATCCTCGTCGATGTAACAACCGACATTCGTGTAAAATGGATTAAAAACAAATTGCACGGTAGCAAAACGGCTATTTTTGCCGGTGCAGTCACGCGCGCGCGCGCACTCGCACGTGGCGTGGAAAGCGACAAAAATCCCGTTACACTTTTATATCCGGCTTAAAATAAAAAAAGAAAAAAGAAAGGTTCGATATCGAAATCGGAAACGCGCGACCGAAACAGGCGTTAAACTCGACCGGCGAAGCCGATGAGCGTGCTCGCGTGTCGTCGACGACGATCAAAAACTCTCTCTCTCTCTCTCTCTCTCTCTCTCTCTCTCTCTCTCTTTCTCTT